TTTTAATGTGCCCATCACCAGAATAGTGTTCACTGTACCCAATAGGTAAGATTTACCCCTCACTCCCTCTCACCATCCCCTTTTCTTGGTTTCCAATGACCTTTACATCTCTTTCTGTCTGTGTGTGTCCTTTGTTTAGCTCCTAGTTATTAGAGACTACATGTGGTGTTTGTTCTTCCATTCTTGAGATACTTCACTTAGGATAATGGCCTCCAGTTCTATCCAAGTTGCTGCAAATGATTTTATTTCATTCCTTTTTATGGCTGAGTAGTACTCCATGGTATATATTATATATGCCACATTTTCTTAATCCACTCATGAATTGATAGGCACTTGGGTTGGTTCCACATCTTTGCAATTGTAGATTGTGCTGTTATAAACATTCAAGTGCAGGTGTCTTTCTGATAAAATGACTTCTTTTTATCTTTCTATCTTCCTTAGAAAAATGTCTGTTCATGTTGTTTGCCTACTTTTAAATGGGGTGTTCATTTTTTTGTTGCTGATTTGAGTTCTTTGTAGATTCTGGATATTAGCCCTTTATTGGATGTATAATTTGTGAATATTTTCTCCCATTTTGTAGGCTATTTACTCTGTTGATTATTGCCTTTGCTGTGCAGAAGCTTTTAAATTTAACTTAAGCCCATGTATATATTTTTGTTGTTGCTATGTTTGTCTTTGGGGTCTTAGTCATAAATTATTTTCCTAGGCCAATGTCTAAGAGTTTTTTTTAAATGTTTTCTTCTAGAATTTTTATGATTTAATGCCTGACATTTAAGTCTTTTACCTATCTTGAATTAATTTTTGTATATGGTGAGAGAGGTGGGTCCTGTGTCATCCGTCTCTGCATGTGGCTATCCAGTTTTCCCAGCGTTATTAGTTGAAGGGCTTCCTTTCCCCAGTCTATGTTGTTGTCCACTTTGTTGAAGATCAGTTGGTTGTAGTTAGATGGCTTTATTTCCAGGTTCTCTATTCATTTCCATTGGTCTATGTCTCTACTTTTATAGCAGTATCATGCTGTTTGTGTTATATAATACCTTGTAGTATAACTTGAAGTCAGGTAATGTGATACCTCCAGATTTTTTCTTTTTTCTTAAGATTACTTTGGCTATTTGGGCTCTTTTTTTGGTTCCAAATGAGGTGTAGAATTATTTTTTCTAGATATGTGAAATATGACATTGGTATTTTGAAGGGGATTGCATTGAATCTGTCAATCACTTTGGGCATTTTAATGATGTTGAGTCTACTAATCCATGAGCATGGGATGTTTTTCCACTTGTTTGTGTCATTATGATTTTTTTTCTTCAGTGTTTTGTAATTCTACCTTCAGAGATCATTCATATCTTCGGTTAAGTATATTCCTAGGTATATTATTTTCTTTATAGCTATTGTAAATGGTATCGTATCCTTGATTTGACTCTCAGCTTGACTGTGATTAGTATATAGAAATGCTAGTGATTTGTGTACATTGATTTTTTAACCTGAGACTTCGTTGAATGTATTTATCAATTCCAGGAGTCTTTTTAGGTTTTCTAGATAGAAGATCATTATCATCAATAAACAGGGATAGTTTGACCTTCTCTTTCCTGATTTAAATACCCTTCATTTCATTCTTTTACCTGATTGCTCTGGCTAGGACTTCCAGAACTATGTTGAATAGAAGTGGCGACCAGTGGGCACCCTTGTTTCATTCCAGTTCTTTCAGGTTTTCCTCATTAGTATGATGTTGGCTGTAGGTTTGTCATATTTGGCTTTTATTAACTTGAGATATGTTCTTTCTATGCCTAGTTTGTTGAGGGTTTTTGTCATCAATGGGTTCTGGATTTTAATGAATGCTTTTTCTGCAGTTATTTAGATGACCATATGGTCTTTGCTTTTGTTTCTGTTTACTTGGTGAATGATGTTTATTGATTTGCATATGTTAAACCATCCTTGCATCCCTGGAATGAAACCCACTTGATCATGGTAAATTATTATTTGATGCGCTGTTGAATTTAGTTTGCTGTTAGTTTGTTGAGCATTTTTGCATCTATGTTCATAAGGGATATTGGTCTGTAGTTTTCTTTTTTTATTGTATCCTTTCTTGGCTTTGGTATCAAGGTGATACTGGCTTCATAGAATGAATCAGGGAGTATTTCCTCCTTCTTGATGCTATGGAATAGTTTCTGTAGGATAGGTACCCGTTCTTCCTTGTAGGTCTGGTAGAATTTGGCAGAATCTGTTTGGTCTGGGGCTTTTTTTTTTTTTTTTTCGGAGGTTTTTTTTTTTTTTAATTTATTACTGCTTCAATCCTGCTGCTTGTTATTGGTCTGTTCAGCATTTCTATTTCTTCCAAAATGTCACAAACAGAATTCAGAATATGGATGGCAAATAAGATGAATGGGATTGAAGAGAAAGTTGAAAACCAACACAAGGAAGCCAAAAAAAATTTCAGGATATCAATGAAAAAAATGACAAAGTCACTAAAGAGCTAGGCAACATAAGGACATAGCAGAACTTAAAGAAATGAAAGAGTCATTTAGGGAATTTCAAAATACAGCAGAAAGCTTCAACAACAGGCTAGACAAAGCAGAAGAAATAATCTCAGAGCTTAAAGATAAGGCTCTTAAACTAACCCATTCAGTCAAAGATGCAGAAAAAAGAATAAAAGAGAATGAACAATCACTCAGAGAAATATGGGACTATGTAAAGTGAACCAATGTACGAATTATGGGTGTCCATGAGGGAGAAAAAAAGGAAAAAGCAAAAAGCATAGAAAACATATTCAAGGGAATTACTGAGGAAAACTTCCCTGTATCACCAGAAATTCAGATATCCAGATACAAGATGGTCATGGAACACTGGAAAGATTCATAGCAAATAGCACTTCTCCAAATCACATAGTCCTCAACTTGGCCAAAGTCAAAAGGAAGGAGAAAATTCTACACCAGCAAGATGAAAGCAACAACTAACCTACAAAAGAAAACCCATCAGGCTAACAGCAGACCACTCAGTGTAGACATTACACACCATAAGGAATTGGGGCCCCATCTTTAATCTTTTTGAAAAGAACAACTTCCAGCCAAGAATTTTGTATCCTGCAAAACTAAGTTTCATTAATCAGGGGGAAATAAAGACTTCTCTAGACAAGCAAACACTAAGGGAATTTGTCACTACTAGACCTGCCCTATAGGAAATACTCAGAACTGAATTATAAATGGAACAGCACAATAGATACCCACCAATGTAAAAGTATCTGAAAGTTAAAGGTCAAAGCTCTTATAAAACAATAGAACAAGAGGGAAAACAAAAAAACAGGGATTATCTAACATGATGAACAGAACAGTCTCCCACATATCTATACTAACACTGAATGTGAACAGTGCCCCACTTCAAAGACATAGACTGGCTGAATGGATTTAAAAAACACCCCAAGTATAAGCTATCTTTAAGAAACACATTCAACTCACAAGAACTCACACAGACTGAAGGTAAAGGGATGGAATAAAAATATTCCATGCAAATGGAAACCAAAGTAAGCAGGTGTGGCCATTCTCACTACAGATAAAATAGACTTTAAATCAACAATGGTTAAAAATAAAAAAAGACAAAGAGGGTCATTATATAATGGGTAAAGGGAGGGATTCATGAAGAATACATAACAATCCTAAATGTATATGCACCTAACACAGGATTCATAAAGCAAATCCTACTAAAGCAAAGATATAAAAAGTAGTATCATTACTGCCAGGGACTTCGACACCTCACTGACAGAGCTGAACATATCAGTGAAGCAGAAAATCAATAAAGAAACACTGGACTTAAATGAGACTCTAGAACAAATGGACTTAACAGACATTTACAAATTTACATTCTACTCCAAAACTACTGAATATACATTCTTCTCATTGGCACATGGAACATTCTTCAAGATTGATCATATCTCAGGCCACAAAACAAGTCTCAGCAAATTCATAAAAATTGAAATAATATCATTGTATCTTCTCAAACCACAGTAGAATAAAACTAGAAATCAACTCCAAGAGAAACACTCAAATTTACACAAAGTCATGGAAATTAAACAACCTGCTGCTGAATGATCCTTTGATCAATAATGAAATTAAGATGGAAATCAAAAGATTCCTATAACTAAATGACAAAGGAGACACAAGCTATCAAAATATATGGGCACAGCAAAAGCAGTCCTCAGGGAAAATTCATAGCCTTAAATGCCTACATCAAAAAGACAGAAATGTCACAAATTAACAACCTAATGTCACATCTCAAGGAACTAGAAAAGGAGGAGTAAACCAAACCCCAAGCCAGCAGAATAAAAGAAATAATCAAGCTCGGAGCAGAACTAAATAAAATGGAAACAAACAAACAAAAATACAAAGGATCAATAAAACAAAAATAAGTTCCTTGAAAACATAAAATTGATAGACCATCAGCCTGATTAACCAGAAGTAGAAAGGACTCTAATAAGCTCAATCAGAAATGAAAGGAAGACATTACAACTGATATCACAGAAATACAAAATATCATCTGTGAATACTACAAAAACCTCTGTGCACAGAAACTAGAAGACATAGGGGAAATGGATAAATTCCTGGAAACACACAACCTTCCAAGCCTATATCAGGAAGAAACAGAAACCCTGAACAGACATTATCTTGTTTACTTCTCGTAACAATCCTGTAAGAGTTTCATGTCCAGTTTACAGTTGAGGAGAGGGAGACGCAGAGTGGGTTAGGAGCTTGCCTAATCAATATTGCCAGTTTGGGCTGCTACTTTGTGTTTCTGACAGCTGAATTGCATCCAGGGCTAAAGGCTAATGGTAGGCTGTTGCTTTTAGTGCTTTTTCAAATCCCTTATTATCCTCTGTATCCCTTATTCTCTTCCCCAATATCCAACAAAATATTTAGTGTCTACCTAGGCCTACCTCTACTCACTTTCTACTACTCATATGTTATGATGTGTGGCCTCAGGAATTTATTGTCAACATATATTTATTGAGTACTTACTGTGTGACAAATATTGTTCTCTATGCTTGGCATATATCTATGAATAAAAAAGACAAAAGGTCCTTGTCTTAGTAGAGCTTGCATTCCAGCAGGAGGAGACAGATAATAAACATAAATGGAAAGTGATAGATGTTACAGAAAAAAGAAAAACAATGTCATAGTATTAAATGAGGGAGTCCAAGTAGGTCTCATGGAAAAGATAACATTTAGTCAAAGACTTGAAGGAAGTGACAGAATAATCCAGATTGTCTAGGGGAGAGCATTCCAGGCAGAGGGTAAACCTGCTGCAAAGGCTCTGGACGGAGAACGCTTGGCATGCTTGGGGAACAGCAAGGAGTGGCTGAAGTGGAGTGAGCAAGGAGAAGAGAAAATGAAGTCAGAGAGGTAATGTGGGAGCCTGGGTTATTTCTAACATTGCAGGGTAGTAAAAGGATTCTGGATTTCACTCTGAGATGAGAGTCATTCATTGGAGGGTCATGGAGAAAAAGGGGGATAAGAACCAACATACATTTTGAAAGGTTCATCCCAGTTGCTGTGGGGCAAAAGTAGACACAGGAAGAAGCATTAGGGAGCTCTAGTGGCAATCCTAGCAAGGCATGGTGGTGGCTCAGCACAGAGTGACAGCAGAGGAAGTGGCAAAAAATAGTCTGTATATAATTTGAAAGTAAAGCCAACAGGCTACCTGATGTATTAGATGTAGGGTGTGAAATAAAAAGTTATAAATTAAGGTTTTTGGCTTGAGCAAATTGAAAGATGACTATGCCATTAATTGAAATGGGGGCAGTAGGGAGGTAACTGGAGATTTTGGGGAGGAAGATTAGAACTTCAGTTTGAGGCATGTAGGGTATGAAATGTCTTTGTAGACATCCAGGCTGAAATGTTGAGTAAAGAATAGGAAATATGAGCTTGGAGTTTGAGAGAGAGATGCATGAAATGGAGATATAAATTTGGGATTTGTTGGCAATATAAATGGTATTTAATGCTATGAGACTGGATGAGATCACCAATGAAGTGGGTATAGACAGAGAAGAGGACCAAGAACTCCAAAGTAAAATGTTGGGGAGAAGAAGAACAAACAAAAATATTTTGATGGCAAAACCACTGAGGGGTTTGCAGGGGACAATCAAGAGTTTTTTGTCTTGAAAACCAAGTGCAGAGTATATTTTGAGAGTGAGTGATCAACTGTGCTTATATAAAAATATGGTAAATCAAGCAAGACAAGAACTGAGAATTGACCATTGGATTTAACAATAAGGTCAATGGTGTCCATGGAAAGAACAGGCTTTTGTTGGAGTGGTGGGAATAAAAACCTATTTGGAGTGATTTAAGAGAGAATAAGAAGAGGAATTAGAGCAGCAAGTTCGGACAGATTTCTGGAAGTTCTGCTTCAAAAGGGAGCCAGGAAATAGGACAGACACTGCAAGGGGAACTGAAGACAAAAATGATGGCATGTTTGTATGAAACTGTAAGGAGTGGTAGTTGATGATGTGAGAGGGAAGAACTGCTGGGGCAATATCCTTGATTAAGTGAGAGGAGATGGGATCTTTTGCACAAATGGAAAGACTGGCTTTAGACAAGAGCAGGGTAGGTGATCTATAGTAACACAAGGGAAGGCAGAGTATACGGAAACATATTGGTAAGTGGGTGATGAGGTCATGAGATTCTTTGTAAGTTCTTTTCTGATTGCTTCAATTTTCTCAGGGAAGTTGGAGGCAAAGAATCAGCTGAGAGTGAGGATGGATGGGGGAAGTGATAACGGAGTGAGCAGAGAGAAGGTATGAGATAGCTTAGGACGTTGGGAGAGTAGATGAACTAGGGATGCTTAGTATAATTGCCTGGTAGCATTAAAAGCTCACTTGAGTATGGTGGCTATGAATTTAAAGTGAAACCAGCTAGCTTTGTTTTTGGAGTGTGTGTGTGTGTGTGTGTGTGCGCGTGTGCGCGTGCTTGTGTGTGTTTTTCAAACCATGCACAGTTACACAGGTGCAGACCACAGTAGGTAGAGAGTTGGATTTACCCAGAGTGGTTTTTATCAAATTGAAAAAAGGTGAGGAGAAAAGGAATATATGCATGGGTGTGATTATAATTTTGGCAATAAGTAGCTGAGGTAGAGTGAAGGGCAAGACCATTGGAAGAGTGAAGTCCAAGAAAATGAGAGGCAGGGTGAGAATGGATTACCTACAAGTATATGAAAAGAAGACAGGAGTAGCACTGGAAGGAGTGAAACAGGAGCTAAAATCATGGAGAAATAAGGGAGAATGAATTGGAGGTTGGTAGTTAAAAGCAACAATGTTGGGTAGTGTGTGCTATATAATCTGAAGCCATGAGGTTCAGAGCTAGGAGTTTTAGGAAGGAGGAAGGAATAATCTGAAAGTAAAATAAAAAAATAAGGATAACTAATCCACTTCAGGCTCAACAGTATGAGGGCCACAGGAGCCAAGTTGCCACCTTTTGTGAAGGCTGAAGGGGAAGCAGTGCTTTTAGAGAAAATCTGGTTTTGTGAGAGCAAGGTGATGAAATACATATCCAGAGGGTAGGTTGACAATATAAGGAATTTTGCTGAAGATACAGGGAATTTTGCAGGAGAGCTCAGCTGCAGGGGAGAGGCAGATTAGAAACGGCTGAAGACAGCCTGGGGGCACGCCAGCTTGGACCTTGACAATACTTGGGGCTTCTTCTTTTGCAACTTGCAGGTGCCATCAACATTGCTTTGTTTACCTTGGGAAACAAACAATCACCTACCAAATGAAACACCATTTTCCTCTCAGGTGTATTACTGTGATTACAGTGGGATGATTCCCGGGACGGGGTGGTGCTTAGGAAGCAGCTGTTTCCCAGCTGCCCGCATTTGCTTGGCACCACGGGCCTCGGCACCCTGTTGTGCCAGCGCCTGCTCATGCCCATCAGGAAATGCGGGGGTAAAAGGGCCCGAGGAGGGGGCTTAGAAAGTTAAATAATCTTTTCTGACACCGACTGGTATCAGTCAGCATTGAGGTTCGAATGACATTCAGGATCAGTCCCGGGTCTTCTGACCTAAGCAGACTAGCGCTAGCCTATGAGTCTTTGACCATAACGCTATTAGCGCGATAGGACAAACTGATTTTACCAATGCTGAGGTCAAGGGCAACTGCGGTCCCTCGTACTGCGGGGTCAAGGGAAACTGCTGTCCTCCTGTCCGAACTGGCTTAGAAAAGCTGCTCGTCCTGCCCAGGCTCAGTGGGCTCGCTGCTCACCGCTCCAGGATGGCCCTGCGCCCTCGTGCCGGCCCGGGTGACGTTTAGACCCTGGTCAGTGGGAACACTGTGGGCCTCCCAATCTTTCAGGCCCCAGGCAGCTTTTGTGTATGTAGCCAAGTATTTTTTGTCTTTAAAAGAAAAAAAACAGGCAGAAGGCACTGTCCGGCTGGCTCTAACGTCCTCTCCGTTGCCTCATTGCCTTCGAAAAGCACCCTCAGAGATGAGAACCAGGTGAGGAAAACATAGCCTTTAGGAGGCTGAAAGACTAATGTTTTTGTAATAGTGTAACAGGGAGCATCAAAACCGTACTTTGGTAGCAGCTGTTCTGATAGGCAGAACGCACTTCAGTGACTTCTCGGTTACTGTCTCGAGGATCCTTAAGACTCTTCGGCCTGCTGGGGTTCGCCGGCGCTTTCTTTACTCTGTACCTGCTCACGGCTCATCTTCATGAGGTTCATGAAAGATGTGAAAGTACAGTAAAATTTGATTTGATCAAACACTGAGTATGGCAGTAGCAGTCTGTAGTCTTGGCTCAGCCAGTAGCCTGAAACCTAGTTTGATCTTCCTAATATGTTGGCAGTATTGTGATCCAGTAGTAACTTGCAGCGTTAAAAACAACAACTGGTCTATAAAGATGGTCCCCAACTTAGGATGTTTCAACCCTTATGAGTTTTTGACTTTACCATGGGTTCATCTGAGTATTAAATGTATTGTCAACTTAATGATATTTTCGACCTACAATGGGTTTATTGGGACATATCCCATCATAAGTGAAGGAGTGTCTGTGCTATGTTAGCGGAGGCAGCTAGTATAGCTCTTTAAATGGAGGGACATGCAGTGGTGTAGTGTTGTAAGCTCCAAGCGATTTATTCAGAAATAGACTGTAGTAATTGAAAAGGCCTACAAGAGCTTTTTTTTCTTCTTCAGCAATCTTAACTCTGTGAGTGAAGTTCACGGTTTTAAAATTGGCCGGGCACAGTGGCTCACGCCTATAATCCTAGCACTCTGGGAGGCCATGGTGGGTGGATCACTCAAGGTCAGAAGTTCAAAACCAGCCTGAGCAAGAGCGAGACCCCGTCCCTACCAAAAATAGAAAGAAGTTAATTGGCCAGTTAAAAATATATAGAAAAAAAATTAGCTGGGTATGATGGCACATGCCTGTAGTCCCAGCTACTTGGGAGGCTGAGGCAGAAGGATTACTTAAGCCCAGGAGTTTGAGGTTGCTGTGAGCTAGGCTGATGCCACGGCACTCTAGCCCGGCCAACAAAGTGAGATTCTGTCTCAAAAATAAATAAACAAAATAAAATGGATTCACAGTTCGGAAGCTTTACTTCAGAATCTGAGGAAACTGGACTAAATAATTCAATATCAGTTTTCTGAGGATTTTTTTTATCATATTTAATTCTGAGTTATAAAACAGGTGTTGGCAATACAACAATTTTTTAAGCTATAAGATAAAAAACATTGAAGTATGTCAGGCTCTGAACCCATTAAAAGCATCGTTGCCTGTAACAGCAGGGGTTATTTCCTTACTTTCTTCTGGCTTTCGTCTTCTAAGATGTCTGTTGCAACACCCTTCGATGTATATACATGTGGTTCCCAAGGCTTACATTTATTTGCCAGTGGCACCCCATAAGAAAGGGATTGGAAGTTCTGTTCATTTTTTCCTACCTTTAGTTCTCTTTTTTCCATCTCTTAGATGTTCTGGGTTTTCCCAGCTGGAGACTGGGGAACTCTGGCTCCCCTCACTGCTACCCGTGGAAGGTCGCTGTGGAGCACTTCTGAATCCAAAGCCTTTCTGTTAGGAGCCAAGCAAAGCTAACAGAGCACGTCACTGTTCTAATACCAATAGCCTTTTCCTCAACCATCATCTAGGTAATTTAGATTCTTGCATTATCCCATTTGGAATGAAAAGTATGGTTTCTGATTGGCTGAAATGAGGTCTATTCCTTTCTTTGTCAGAAGTCAAAAATCACCATATTCTGGAATATTAGAATGTGTTGGGTAAAGTGCATAATAAGATTCTAGAACTCAAATAGCTGCTTCGGTACTAAAGTCAGTAACCGTTCTCCCTGGAAGGGCTAAACTTTTCCTTTATTATAGCACTACATTGTAATTGCTTACTTAACTGTTTTGTAAGCTACTTTTATCCTGTTACTTCTCTGGTGTTTCCAGTTACTAAGACATTTTTATGAGTTCAAGGATGTTTGATGCATAAACAAAGGAAGGAAAATATTTAAGGAATATTATGTTTATTAAAGGTATAATAGTTTGGTTCTTCTTGAGCCTGAGTTATGACCACCTATGAAGAATATTGTACTTTTTCAACTATTTATTAAATAGGGAGGGTGGAGGTGGGCATAGGGAGAGTTGGGGAAGGGTGCATTATGAAACATAAAAACACTATTAACAGTAAATACATATTAAAAAACCTTATCATAGTTTGATTTTGCTCTAGGCTGCTTCCTGCCTCCCAACTTGATTTCCCTCCCTGCTTTTTCTTGTCTACAGAATGTGAGGAAAGGAACACACACTTCTTTGTTGAGGGAGACTAAGGTTATCATTTCATTCTACTGTGAGTGGAGTTTTCCTTTCTCATCATTCATCAGGTCAACTTAAGCTTCAAACATCTAAACTGTGTATAACTGTGAAACACTGTGTATAAAAATAAGTGCATGTTTAAGACAAAGTGGAAAAGTACCAAACACTTAAAAAAGATGAATTTGGAGAAAACTTTTCCATTGATAACCTCTTTTTTTGTTTATGAGGTGGTATGAAATAATCTGGGAACATGTGTCTGTTAGGATGAGAATGCTATATGATTAGAATGCAATCCAATAAGAATATTGATTAAAAATCAAATGCCTGCACTGAAGGTGAAAGGAAGGGCAAAAGACTGCATGCTGTGCATTATTTTGCATCAACACAACTGCTTCCAGGTGTACAAGAGCTTCAACTGATACCTTGCTTTGGAGCTTTTGAACTTTCTTACTTACCAGTGATTCTAAGTGGTAGTCACCAAACCTGGGACACAAGTAAAAATGATGTAACAGGCCATATGAAATTTTTAACTGATTTTGCATTTTTTAGTGGAGAACTCAGTCCTTAAGAAAGATTTTTTTATGGTTCAAAGAAAGAACATGATTAATGAGGGCTCTCCATCTTAGAATCTGGGGTTCCTGCCCATGTCTTCCATACACTTCTCCTTGCCAGGGCTTGCCTAGGTCGGATGTGAAGTAAGTGGAACCCAAATTCCTAACAAATGATTTTTGACTCTCCTGTCATGTAGTTTTATATCTTTAAGTGCTAAAGGGAGGCACATTCAGAAGTGATCTCATGTGAGAAAGGCTATTTTTAAGTTCTAATTTATGCCACGTAAATTTTCAAAAAAGAAAATTCTGAATTTAATCTCAAACCTTTGGGAAGGCTTCAGATCACATATTTAGCAGGAGGTACTATTATCACCTTAATCATAAACATTTTATTTGGACACATTTTTTGGATACTTGTTGAAAAATGATAGCTTAAATTATCAGAGTTGGAATTAACATTTGAGGACTGATGCATAAAAAAGGTCCCTTTTCCCTCAAACTCAGATGCTATTTTCCTGTACTTTACTGATATCATGAAGAGCCTTCCTTCTCAAACTGGCGACATTTCCTTGCTCTGTACTTTTATGGTGAAGGATAAGGGTTTTCTCCCCTGAATTTGCCAAATAGAATTTGTGACGTTTATGTGTTTCAGACCTACAGTTTATTCCATGATCTTACATATTTTATTTCCCATAAGAGTGTTTAGAAAAACAATAAAAATTGGAAAAACATTTTGGTATAATTATAATTGTGAATGGGATTCCTGGAGGAGAGTTGAAATTATTCGATCATCTGTGTTTTTTCTAGACATCCGGAATTTTTCTTCCTCTTTTCACTCTTAGAAATTTCAATTGAAGATAGATGATTATTCTACACCAAAGACCTTTTTAAATTGCAATGCTTTAAGAACTTTTTTATTAAGCTTCTTAAAAGATCAAATATAGTATTTTTCACCTTACCTGGTTTTAGTTGAGACAAATCCTTATTTTAATTTGGGTCTTCTTTAGAAAAAGAAACAGAACACATTTCATTTTTATACAGAATAAACTTTGTTTTTATTATAGACATGGATCAAAAATAAAAGTTTTTATGTACATATGACATATAGTGCAAATGAAAGTCTTTTAAATACCATGGATAGACATGTTGTTGGAAACAAAACGAGATGAATGACTGACGGGGGTGGTTAGGATGGTCGTCCTGGAACTGCAGGAGGGGGTCGCCTAGTAAAAAAAAAAACAAAACAAAATAACAAAAAGAAAAACACAGATGCAGAGGAAGAAAACAATGTTTAAATTATAAAACAAATTCAAATAATAGCATGCAAAAATATCTCACAAAAGTCAAGTGCAAATCAGACCAAAAGGAAAAAAAAAAAACAACCAACCAAAACAGCACATGCAGACATGCAGGGGCAATGAAAGAACACCACATGGTAAAGTTAGCAGTTCCCAGGACTTTTCCTGGCTACTAGCAGTGTGCTTAGGTATGAGCCATTTGAGCCCACTCAAAAATCTTATTATTTTGCACCACAGAATGATAAATTCATGCAGCTTTATTCAGGAGAACTGGGAATGGTCCCAGAGCCAAATACCTTTACAACTTGAATATTTGATTCCCAGTCCTAATTTTGTGACACTCAATTATTTCCAAAGATTTCAATGAATGTTGCAAAATCTCCATAGAGAAGAGGGAGTTGATATAGAAGTATGGCAGGTAAAAATTTTTTAAGTGAAATTAGAAGGTGTCAAGAGATGAAATGAGCAAGGTAATCACAGTGTAAAAAATGATGTCAGAGGTTGGTCTCACACAAAAGGATTTGTAAATAAGAATTTGCTCTGGGTGAATAGTCCTGATGTGTAATAGCCTAGATTCAGGCCTAGGGAGACTAAGAGGCTAGGTCTGGTCCATGGTGACCCCAGGATTTTGTAGGATTTCCCTCTGTCTGAGAGCTAGGTGCAGCTGAAATTCTGATTTATTCTCAAGTGAGTCCCGGGTAAATGGAATCTAGTCTACTGGATCTTTCTCCATATCCCTGGCCTGGCTTGCATTTCAACAGGCCCACAGAATGTGGAATAAGGGTCCAGAGTTGTGCTTTATTTTGACATCAGCCTCTTGGTGTTTGCCAGAAAGATGATTTGCAGCTAGAGAAGATAGAACAACAAACTATACATTGCAATGAATAGCTCCAAAAGTAGGAAAACAGCAGGTCAAATAAAACGTTCCCACTGGTTTCCAGTAGAAGTCTACACTTTAATTTCCTCTTTCTAATCAAATCGGTAAATAAATTCAACATTACAGCAAGCTGTAGGACTCTGAGGTGGTCTTGATACTCTACTCTCTTTGGTTACTCATCCAGTATGTTCAACAACATACTCACTTCCATCTTATTCTTGTAACACTTTAGTGAGGAGAGCAATGAAGTCTATAAAAAACAAAAATAAAAACAACTTCTTTTTCATCTTCCGTGAGATGTTCATGGAGCCAAACTGACTGGGCTATTTCTGAGCAGTGGTAAAAAAATGATCTTACCTTCCCCAAAGTCCAAGATCAATTTTTCTTCAGTCCAATTTAAGCTGGCTACATTAAGGAGGGCTCCCATCCATTTAAATGATGAAGGACTTGTTACTGGTACCTAACCTTTCAACTGTGGGGGGGTAGTGGTTCTGCAAACCTTTAGCTTTAGAGATCCAGGTAATGGGTATCCCTGGTGTTTTCATGAAGAAAGTGTAATTAAATTTCTGTCAGGCTCAATGAGATTTATCACCTGTCCAGCAAACAGAAACTATTTTTGAGTTCTGAAGGGGCTTTAGAACACTTTAATTACCTCAGCAGGGTGGGGAGGTGAGCCATTAAACTGAACAGCAAGTCCACAGTGCTGAAGGGACATTCTGTTAGCATATGCCAAAACACTTTCCTGTTTGGGCTTAGTTTGGTGTTCTAATCCAGAAACAGGATCAGAAACTTTATGTCTTGGAATACATTTCACTGACAGCTAGAATGTTCACTTTAAACATCAGGGTGACATTTACTGCCTCAGACAGGTCCTTTCTTTTCATCTTCACTTACCCTGTATCTAACCTTCCTCACATTCCTTCTTCACATCAAGCATTGTTGATGATGACACTATTTAGTGGGTCAGAGTTAGTCATATCATGGATCTGGGAAGTGTGGGTTTTTGCTATTTCTTTTCCAGAATTTTCTATATTACTTACATGGTTTTGAAGTGCTTAAAGACAAGTGCTGAAAATATTTGGGCTTCTTAAATGTAGATCTACAAAAGTACAACATACTGTTGCCACCCCCAATATGAAAGTTGGAGTACTGAATTGGAATATTGATTTGCTAACAAATTTCAAAGCTTATCATACTAGTATTCACTTTATAAACACATCTATCTAATCAAGATAATAATTTTAGTTTTTTTTTTAAGCTTTCTGAAAAATAACTTCATAACAAAATTGTTTGGCCAAAACAGTAAGATAAGGAGATTAGAAAAACTATATGTGGAACATGGGCATAATTCACATACAAAAACTCAATAATGAATTACCACATTATCTTGGATCTACCTCAATGCTACAATTTGGACTTATGGTGACATTCCTCTGGTGAGATCCTGAAATGTCTTCCTTATAGCTGTTTTCTGTTAAAATCTCACAAAACATTTTCTGCTTGCTTTCTTTGCCCATCGTTTTGGTAACTTAATATCCCTGAGCAGTGGGTGAGCCTGAAGGCTTAGGAAAGGGAGGAGAGAAAGGCAATAGGAATAGGTATTCTTCTGAATTCTTTTCTGATGATCTTTAATTTTAAATCAACTTGGATCACTTTCTTCAAAATAATCTCATGGGAGTAATGTAATTAATTTAAAAGAGCTCTTTTTTGGAGAGTCAGAGAGAAATGGTAGAAAATTATCTGAATCCTACACAAGTCTCAGTAAGACTCATTGCATGTAGGGCTCTAATCTGCTTTCACACCTTCTGTTCCTATGTGACCTTCCTCTTTGGAACTCAGACACTACTGTGACAAAGCACCAGAGCTCCAGGTGGATCGTCTTAAGTTGGGAGCTCTTGCTGCTTCCATATTTGATTTTATCACCCAACTTTTTGTTAGTGACAGCGTGTGCCAAGATAATCAGACTCAGTGGGTTTTCCTCTGGCTTAAAGCACTGAAGCAGTGTTTCCTAAGGCATGCGCCTCAGAACACTAGTTCTGTGAGATGCTCTGTGAAGAAAGCTTTTATGGCCAAGTAAGTCTGAGAAACATGTAGATACTATTCTTTTCTTAAAGATTCACAATGCAATCAGATTTTAAGGCTTCTATAAAGTCTTCCAGGAGAGAAACATTTAATTTTTTAGTCATTATTTCCTGACTACATTTGACAGAAAAATGCTTGGTGTGTGTGTAAAACTTATTAAGATATAATGGAGTGCACTTTGGGAAACTCTGAATTAAGGTTGTAGTTTCAGTTAGTATCTCTTACATGTATTCTAACACCAGTAAAGGGTTTGAAAAGTGGCAATGCCAGGTGTGTGTTGAAGTGCTTGGAAGCAAGGTATGAGGTCAGTTTAACCCAAACACCAGATATGTTTCTCAATATGAGATTTACAGTTTCCAGCAGCAAAAAAAAAAAAAAAAAAAAAAAGCAAATCAAACAGATATTTACACTAATACCACACTGATAAAATACAAAAGTAAATTTGCCAAATAGTTAAAATAAAGTTCTTTGTTTTTGGTAATTTTCCTTAGAAACTATTCTATATGTATTATTAATATACTTTAGAATCATGCAGTCAAAACAGAGCAAACAAAACACAAATGCACAGCATGATTCTTCTCATCCAAAATCTCTCTTCCAGTAAGATAAGAAGCTTCCTTTGAAGGTATGGGTGCTCCACACATGGAAATGTATAGATATGAGAAAGAACTTACAACAGGAAAGGGTGAAGTAACACAACAGCTTGTCCAAGTCATCCTTCCACAGTGAACATGTCCTGATCACAGAAGAAAAATAAACCGATTTTTCCCTCCTCCTCTCCTCTTCTTGTCTTCTGCATTTGGATGGCAGAATCTGGGACTATGTGTATTGACAAGGGACTTATCATCAAAACTCTTGTAATGGACAATCTTTCTCTATCCTTTGGAAACTCAGAGTAAGGATATGTGTAACTACTGAACACTCTTAGATAATCTTAATAATGGGGAAATGGAAAGGGACAAATTCTCTATGCCCAATGAACAAATAAGGAAGGCCAAGTGTTGGGTCAGGAGTTCAACTCTTTGCTCTAAGAAATGCCTCTGTAGACCTGATATTTGGGCAGAGCATCTTTCCTCCTTTTACTTCCTGGGGTTTTCCATGAATACTTCCTTTTCAGTGGCAAAATGTCATGGTGCTTTCTGGCAAGTGTCACTTCATACCCTCCAACTGTCCAAGGTTTGTGTCCTTTTTCAATCTATTTCAACAATGACTGCAAATCAGGAACAAACTGTTTTCCACTTTCCTGCCTCTGATTTGCCCAATTTGTTCCCTTTAAAAATATCATCTTCCCCCAAATTAATGGTAGAAATGCAAAATGCTATCATTCTCCAGTTTGATAATGCTAGGCCACTTTGATCAAGAGCTATAAATATTTGGAAGTCTCAGGTATTACTGAAATGCATAGACATGATTCAAATACATACAAGAATGAGGAAAGGGGGGCATCCTTCAAATGTTATAATTTATTTCAGATTCAGAAATACAGCTTCACATTTTCACAATAGGTACATGTGACCTTCAAGAATGATACAGGCTTTAGGAACTTGCTTCAAAATTTCCATTCACAGAGTCCATATATCAGCATTAAGAAATCCTGAAAGTGCCAAGAAGACAGTGGAAAGTATTCTGGCTCGTATGAATTAAAGAATCAACAGAAAAGATGAGATTTTGCTTTAGTATATTCCTTCTTCATAAAAAAGCAAAAGAGGAATTTGACTTTAAAAAAAGGAGAGAAGAGAAACAGACAAGCAAGTAAAACCAAGGCTGTACATATGAAATAAAACACAAATCAAGTAATAGTGGTGGAATTTCTTATTGAGAGAAATAATTTTTAACAAATTGGCAGAAGATAATAGATAATGCAAAAGGTTGGACAGAGTAATTTTTTTCATAATTTTAAAACATTACATAACAAGCAAAATATAAGAAATTCAAGGGTAACAGTTAAAAAAGAAATTAAGCTGAGCCACGTGTGAAACCCTTGACCAGAGAGGTGAGAAGTCTCACCAATATACCAGTATGAACAGGTCTTAAGACAAACAGGAGACTCTTTCTTGAGTTTCCTCTCTCTTGCTCTCACACATACACATTCTTACGTACACACACACACACACACACACACACACACACACAAATAGCAATGCTTATACTACATATACGTCAAAAAAATTCTTAAGGTTTCACATATAGAGCACCACATAATTTTAAACATACCAAATAGGATGACTAAGATTATCTAGAAGACAGATCTGAGCTTTTTAGAAACAACTGAATGATTTGGTGAACTAATAATTGTTTCTCTAAAATCTACCTTCATTCACATTAAACTCTGAGCTCAGAGCTAGCAGTTCTCTAGGTGAAATGATACAAAACTCATGGCTTGAGTCTCATACATTATCTTCCTTCTCTGAGTTAAACAGTTCAGACACCTACTATTTAGGCTTTGTTCTTAATGCTAAGGAGATTCCTGTCAATTTTAAATAATTATGTTTGCCAAATGGAAAGTGCTTTCCTGAAAAAGTAGATGACCTATCTCCAAGGTATTAAGTATTAGATGTCTCCCCTACATTTTTAGCAAATATACTCAGAAATATCCACTACTTTTATTATGTTGCTGTATACTTCTATTTGTTTTATTACATTTACCATAGAGAGAGAAAAGGATTATGTAGATCAACTTAGCTTTTTAAGATTCAGTTCAGCAATCCAAAAATAACTTATAATTCTAATTAGGCATCTTAAAGATAGTTCTCCAGATCTTTCACTTCTTACCAAATGATATTATCAAAGGCAATTCTTTCTTAGATAGCAATGCTGTGGATTAAGAAACAAATGTCTGTGAATATTACCATGTTTGTCATGAGCCTTGTGCCTCTTAGAATGACTACAGTCTGGAGTTGGAAAATTTTGTATACTTCATGTATGTTTTGAGAAACAAATCACTGTTATCACATGTTATGGCAGATCAGCCAAAGCTGTCTCTTATATTAGCACAGTTTAAAATATATATTCATATCCACACATACTAAGCACATGTATACACAGATATTTACACCCATACATATGCATATATATATATATATAATGCACATACAGTCACACTCATGCTTATGGCATTTTAATGAGTGCTTTTAAACCTACCTACTCAAAGGGACACAAAATACATGTACTTACAGAAATAAACTGACTATGTGTATACTGTATAACACAGAGACACATGCATAGAAAATGTGTTTGTACACAGAAAACATTAACATTTATCACATACTGGTAATTAGGTCCCATTTCATATTTGAGAATTATGGCTACAGTATATACTGAAAAGTCACAAATTAATCTATGTGACTACTTTTTAATTCTAAGTCCAGAAGGCTTATAGTTATATCACAGGAACTGGTTTCATTATAATATTTTGGAATAGAATGAGTCTGTATCTGAACAAGTAGGAAATTTGCTAATAAGCAGACTCTATTGCTCTTCTGTGTTATAAAACACAGCTAAAAGCAATATTCAGAAGAGTAAGTAACCTTGGTAGACGATTTTTAGAAATGCAATGTATCTGTTCTAAATCAATCCTATTTTAATAATCCATAATTGAGTAAATGGTTATTCCAATTAGTCAATATGCATGCAAGGTTTAGCATGTGACAATAAAACTAGATTTACCTATCAAATAAACACATACAGTTTATTTTCCCAAATCCTAAAAACACGAACTTTTATTATGCTAGACATGATAGAGCTACATCTATTGTGTTGACAACATCAGAGCAATCAGTTAAGAGGAAGTTACACAAAAGATTAGAAATGGTATGGGAAACAGAAAGCTCATTAAGCTACATTCCCATCTTAAGGCCTGGTGTGCATGCTGCACCTCAAACTATGCACATCCTAGAGCTTCAGACTTAATTCACCTTGGCATCTCCTTTTAGCAGGATATAAGCCCTTTGGGAAATGGGATTCATACTAATAATATGACATAATAGTGCAGCAAACTGAAAATACTCTCCAATGTGACTGCTGAAGAAATTCCAGGGTAGGCTGGGTTCTATTAGAAATAACTTAGGAGTAAAAAAGAACAAAAATGTACCCACAAAGGGAGACAATTGGGACAATGCAACTGTGGGAATATAATCTAAAAGCAAAAGCCAAAGATGACAAATGCCATTGTTTATTACTGCCTAAGATCAGTGGAAAGAAACTTGGGAAAAATCTCCAATTTTTTTTGACATGGTTTGTGCTGATCTAAGAACACACCAGTGGTTATCCACAATATTTTCCTTTAACAGAAGGAAATTTTTGAAATACAGCAAAACTCAAAACCACATTTAGCATGAAGCCAAACCCTGAAATATATAATCTGCTAGCTGCCTGTTTTAGAGAATTCAAAGGAAGAAGCAAAGGGAATCCTAAAAAGAGAAAATTTTATGAAAAGATCTCACTGCAGATTATTTGTTTTACTATGGATTTTTGCTTAACATTTTTCCATTTAGCTGAGACATTATTCTAAAAAATGCAGTATGCATCTTGCACATTGGTTCCATTCACAGAGAATTATTTTTTTCCAATTGAAAAAAATAAGATGTGATGGTGATGTTCTTTATAAAATCATTTGTAACTTTAAAAACTGAAATGCCCTTTTTGTCAATCTTATATTCTCTGATTTTTTTCCAATTATGAGTAGGCTAGCTGTAACTCTTTAGAATAAGTTCAATACACTGCCATCCAACATGGCAAGTTCCCTTTTAATAATGGTTAAAACTTTTTACTTTATATTTTATGGGTGTCTGCTTTGGGTATAAACTACACAGGAAATTAAAGTTAAGTTAACATACAAATCATGTTTGCTGCTTTCAAAGGGAGACATTTCAGTTGCTGAAACCTGATTTACTTCTGTAGAATATGAAATAGTGTCATGGGACACCACTATTCAGTGAATACTTGCTCTGCTGTCTGGGAACAGTTAGCAGACAAAATTCCAACTGGCTTCTGGCTGTTCCTACATGCTAATCATCTGGTCCTAGGTAGTCCAAAACTTAGCCTCAAGACTGAACTACGAATCTCTAGGTTAATCCTATACTGTAAATTTTAGAAATCTTAGATATTGCAAATTTGCTTTAGATCACAATATTTTAATACCATTTTCTGGAGTTAAGTGACCTGGATAGGGACTCTGAAGTAGTACAATTGTACAAGTGTGAGCTCTTCTCTTAAACTATGGCATCTTCTACTGACTTTTCATTTCAGGTACCATTCTCTAAATGTGATTATCCCATAGTAAGTCTCAAGATTTATTAAGAAAGCCTAGAATGGATAGAAAGTTACACTAAACCTGTTTAAAAGGTAGGATACATGCTTACATAAGGGAATTACAAATTAGCATAGAAATAATTTTTTTTTGTCTCCAGCCAAAATAATAATAAAACTAGAGTTAGTATCAAAATTTAGTTAGCCATGCCAAAAATTAGATCGATTGGAAAAATTAAATATTTTCTATGTCAACCTTCAATGTAATTGACCAGGAGGTGAATATATAAATGAATAAAGAAATTATATTTTTTCAGACACTTCTAGCAATATGATATTTTGCTTCTTCCTTGAACTCTGAAACTAACTAGCCAATGACTGATTAACAAAAAACAAGCTTTGATTCATTGCTGCATATGCTTCTAGCATGAAGCAAAACACATTGGCACAAGGAGAAGCTCTCTAGAGCAAATAATGCAGACTTTTCCTTTGCAAACTACCTTATGCTTCTGGAAAAGTTTTATTCTTAAGGAATCCTAATTTTAAAACGTTACTTCCTAGCTGTCTTATGAAAGAAAGAGTAAGGAAAGAGGAGCTAAATATGTAACTATGGAGTAGGTCGTAGTACTAATAATAGACAACAGAATTACCGTCATCCTAAACAGAATGTGGGAAAAGAAATATGTATGGCTTAGGTGTAAGCCAACCATCTCATATCTGTTAAGGATTATATTTAATGAGCTACCTGGTAGATAGCCTGGAAAATTTGTCCAAAGCAATTTCAAATATATGCCAGGGTAGGCAAATGGTCCCCAAAGTATAGGGCTGCTATACAAACCTACCTTGGTCAATACAACGTATAACACCTCTAGGGTCAGCAGTTTTTAAGAGTCAAACCCCAAGGGTTTGACATACCATGAGCAATGAATATGAGTGAGGAATGCATTAGTAAAACTGGTTACTTGCCTACTGATGTCCACACATGCGACTACTCATGATTTACTGCAACAGGTATCAAATATGCTGCTTTTGCATAATTCATTAGTGATTAATTGCCATGGCAGACACTTCGTTTAGTCTAACAGGGAGGATTCTAGTGGACGGATTATAGTGGGACGAGTTGGTGATGGGGGTGGTCTCCGGCTAGAAAGAGAGAAAGAGAAAGGTAAAGAAACAAGTAGAATATCTAGCAGAAAGTTGTTCCGAGGACACTGAGAAAGAGCCATCACGCACATGCTCATGCACACACAGGCCAGCAGGAGTGGTTGCGATCTGTAATGATCTTAACATTGTCACCTTTCATTCATTCGGCAGTTTTGAACAAAAATTAGGTACTTTTGCATATGGAAATCTTTCTCAAAACTGAAGTCACCCCTTCCAATATTAAAAACATGCAATTATTTGAAAGTCATCTGAAATACACTGCACATAGCTCAGCCCTACTCCAGGAACTAACAAGGTGTAAGTCTCAGACAATGATGGTTTATGAATTTTTTTTCCTCTTTATATAATTTTCTTCCTTTTTTTCTCTCTGTCAGGATGTTACCACTTCTCATTGCCCTTAGTAGTAGCTTTCTCTAATCTGTTCTATATTTTGCTTTCAATTTTCAGGGTCCTAGAAAAATCAGAAAATCAAGGCTTTTAGAGTTCTCTACAATAAGTGTAAATAGGCATAGTGTAAGTGCCTGAGTAAATTGCATGAACTCTAATTCCTATTTTGGGTTTCAAAGATTATTATCAGTACGATTGCCCACTTTCCAGTTGGTAATGGTGTTTCTGATAGCTGAGTTTAATGAACAAACATACTCTAGATAATGAAATATTACTGTATTGGAGTCTCAATGTTACCAGGTAATATTATTTATTCCCTGAGCCCCTATATTTATTTCTTAAATGTATTAATACTTTTTTTTGTGTGTGTACTTGACCTCATATGTAGTACCTTGGGGAGTAATTTTTATACCCTCTCCAAATTTAAAAAATTCTACAAATTGAAACCTCTCTTTTTGATAAAACTCTCTGATTTTTTCAGAAAGACTCCTTCTGTGATTACAGTCATTGTCATGGAATTTCTTCTGTAACACTAAATTGTAAACACTAAACACTTTACACATTGTAAACACTTCTTGTAAACACTAAATTGATCAAATTGAACGAATGTCCAATTTCAGATAGGAAGAAGTGAAGCTAGAAAAGTTGAAGAAAACATTTATAAAGTATTTAAAACTTAGAGAGCTATAAAATAAAATTATATGGAAAAGGAAAAATCAAGCAGAATAGATATTTTTGATTAATGGTGAAAATACCACATTGGCACAAACTCATTGATACTGGGAGAGTTCCTTTTGCCTCCTGCACCTGAAAAATATCTGAGGCTTTAAAGAAGAGCTTTCACTGGGAAGGTGTATTTCAATTTAGTGCCCTGTACTAGTGTCATTATTAAGTAGGCACTCAATTTTTAAAAGTGTAATTAGAGATATTTTATAGACATACTAATAAAACTAAACCAATCAATACTAGTTTAATTAGGGTAAACAAAAAAATTATCTTCCTGCAGAAAGGCTATAGTGACTACCTGAAATGTTCTGGCAATTCTCCGCTAGGAAAAATCCTCCCATAATTTCCTTTTTACTTAAGCTCATGAAATAACACCTGCTCTTTTGCTGGTATACTGTTTATTTTCATTTAAAATGGCCATATTTATTTAACTTACCTACTATTTCTTGAACCTGCATAATTGTCTCCTTTCATATGAAGTTTCTGGAGGCCAGAGGATGCCCATGCCCACCTAATTTGTTTCATGCAGTGTTTAGCATGGTGTTGCATGCAATTATGTTCTCAATGGCTTTTTGCTCATCTTATAGAACTGCTGTTCATCCTTCAAGACTCGCCTCAGGGAAGCCCTCTCTGACTTACTTTCCCCATCTGGATACAGTTGTTTCTATATATCTCTATTATATATATATAATATTTATATATATTATATATATAAATATTATATATATAATATATATATTATATATAATTATTTCTAAATATCTCTATTATTTATTAATCACACTGAATTCTAATTATATTTATATATTCATCCTCACTGATTAGAAATGCTCTGTGTCTTACTCATCTTCATATTACTGCAATGTCTAGCTCACTGCTTGTCTTTCAGTTACTCAATGTTTAACAATTGAATAAAATGAAAGTTACTTCTGGAAGAAAAAATCTCTTATGAATGCTTATGATATCCATTGGTCTTATAAATACAAGGGTATTTGTGAGTAAATCATGGTAATAGGAAAAAACAAAAAACAAAATAGCTAAAGTGACAGGTAGGATTGAGATCCTTGGACACTCTCCCATACAGTGTTTGCTTGCTCAATTCTTTTTTAGGTACCTGGAATAAGTAGCAAATAACAGGCCCCCTGTCTTCAGGGAGTTTGACAACTAATCATATAACCTATGGAAACATATTCTTAGCAATTAACCAGTTATGGGGGTTAGGAGAGGGAGTTAAACAGAATTTGAACTTTAAGGAGGGAAGCTCTACCAGAGAGTTCAATAATGGAATTTATTAGGGGATTTCATTTGGAAAAAAGTGAATATTAGGCTACAAATTCAGTGAGGGGTAGGATCAGCATGGCATGGTGGATTGGAAATCATTTTATGCATGTGTGAAAACCTGTACCAAGGCTTGTACCCAAGAGAGAAAGGAATACAAACTAGGTTCTCTTCTCATCCTTTTGTTCTTGGCTTAAATGTCATTCCTCAGTCCTTCCTGATCATCTCACAGTTTGCCCCCTTCTTCTCCCTTCTCCCTACTACTTCATGTTTGTGTATTACCCCTGCTTGTGATTATATATTCATTTACTAGGTTATTGCCTATTCCCCCCCAATAGATTGAAAATTCCTTGAGAAGAGAGACCACATATTTTGCCTTTATTATGTGTATTCAGCATTTAGTACAATGTGATTAGAAGGCAATGAGTAAATACTTGTTGAATAATGGACAAATGAGGGAATGACTTAAAAGTGCCTAAACAAGATGTTTAGCCAGGCTAGAGTCTAGGGTAGGTCAAGGTGAGCAGGCCTAGTGAGGCCAGAGATGCAACCCCTTTGAGGCATTTTTCAGGCTTATATTTGAGGCAATAGGTTTACACAGAAAGAGTCCTGGATCAGAAGTCAAAAGATGTGGATTCCAGCTCCAACTGCCAAATTGTACAATTATTAACCCACTAAACTTCTCTAGGCTATAGTTTTCTCCCCTCTGACACAGGAGACTCAGACTAGATGATCTGTGACAGGCCTTCCAGTTGTATATTACATACATTATTTGTTTACCATCTACTATGTGGACCGCATCATCCTGCATAGTTTTAAAGAGTTCAGATCTATTCGGAATGGAAGAGGAGTGGAATAAGATAAATATGCAAGTTGTTTTACTATAGCACTATAGTGGGGAAATGGGGCACAATTCTGTTATTCAGAGTCTGAGAAAATACTCTGGGAAGCTTTAAAATACAGTGATGTGGTCAAAGCAAGGGCAAACATGATTGTAACTGCTGCATCTAAAATTTGGAAGTTGTAAGGGAATGCAGGTCTATAATGAGTGAATGAAAATAGAAATTAAATGATGGGGATTGAAGGGAAGAGTTCAATGGTGGGGACAGAGAATAGAAAGATTTAAATACTCTGGTGGCACACTAAATTCTCGTTAATCTCCTCTTTAATCCTTGGGCCATGCTGATGGGACAAGAGAAGGACAATAGCAATGGGCAGTTGTAGAAAGAAGGCAAGACAGGAGACCAGGAGGACGTGCGTTTCTACTATGTGCCAGGTCTATTGTTTGTCTTATTTGCTACCATATCCTAGAAGTTAGCATTGCCATTGGTTCATAGTATTATTTTTTCAAGCAAATAAATCCAGGAGAACCTAATCATTATGAGCTCTTTAATGGTGTGCCTAGGGCCTTGCATTGAATAAGCACTGCACAGAAGGGCGGTGCATTAATAACTGAAAGAATAAAAAATAAAATTTTCTCCATGTTCTCTCAAAATAATTATGACATCTTCAAAATATGCCTAGTTTCAGTTAAAGGAATGCATATGTACTTACTTAGTAATTAAAAATCCTAAAGAGCTCCCCCCAACCCTTGTGGAAGAAATGAGCATTATTTTATTTCTAAAACAAACTACAAAACGTCTGTATATAAAACTCTATTAGAAAGCAATTCGAGGGAGCATCAAGTTGTTCAGGGTGAATTTTCTAATAAGCAATGCTAAGATACTTGCCAACTTCAACACCAGAAAACATTTAAAGTTTATGGTTAAAGTTCATTTCATTGGTCCAGTTCCTAACCATTCAAAGAGTTTCCAAAGACATTCACCTCACAAGACAGTTTGTTTTAGGCAAAGCAAAGTTATTTGTTTTGTACCAAATTTTCCTCAGTTGCTTTGTGCAGTGATGGGCTTCATTAAGTAACCCATTATATTGAAATGGAGCATCTTGTATCATTTAGTGTTTATTGAAACACTGTGTTGTATGTGGGCGGTTTATGGTTATGATAGAAGAGCCATGTTTCTGCTTCCGAATCAAAGGGAAAGATGTAATACTTGAAGTTGTATTTGTAGCTGCAGGGATGGACCATTCATAGTATTTTGGACAATGACAAATTTTGTAAGAGAGTCAAATGCTCACACGGGGTAGGTGGCATTGTGGAGGAGAACTGGCTTCGCTGATAAGAGAGAAGAATGCATCCTTTATTTTCTTGTCTCATTTTATTGTCTGCTCTTTGGGTTAGCTGTCCTGAGTATTCATGATGTTGAGGCCAACCTTTACACAGGTTAGGGGAGACTGCAACAGAGCGAACGCTATTGGTGCTTCAGCTTGTGAGGTGGCTGTGGAAACCACCCTTCCTTTAGCTTCTTTGCTTCCAGGTAGCATAACACAGACTTCTGAAGTGGCTTAGTCTTTCTGCTCCTGCCCTTATTTCTCCTTAGAATGAGAAGTGGGAATTAAATCTGACTGGTAAATGTGTGAGCCAGACTGGACCTATATAGCTCAGTTTCATTCATTTCCTGTGCTTGTACCAGCATCTCATGACTCCCAGTCCAGAATTCTTTCTGTTGGGCAGTTATATTGACATGTTC